GGGCGCCCCCGCGGGAGAGGGTGCCTGAGCCGGGGCCGCCCCGAACCCCCGGGCTTCGGAAACAAAAGCTGCCGAAGACCGGGAAGACCCAGGCCGCGCGGCCCCCTATCTCCCGCAGCGCAGGTCCCCTGGGAGCTGGACAGAGAGGACCCGCACCCACCACCCCGCCGCACGCTCAGGCCCGGCCGAGCCCACCCTCCAGTGGCGGGTCTGGAAGCAGGGGGCACAGCGCCTCTCTGTGAGTCCAAACGTGCGGGAGGCCGGTCCTTGTAGCTGAAGTGCTGTCCCTAGTCTGCTCTCCCGACTCTACTACCCCCTCAGCCCTGCAGGTCCCGGCCTGTCCAGGAAAGGGTGCCCTCTGAGAACAGCCCTGAGGGAACAAGACTGTCAGGCACTGACCAACGGGTCATCTCGATGGTGACCCTTGGGTTGAACTACCTGGCAGACTACAATGCTTACCAACTGGGTAATGCTGATCCATCTGGAAATGGAATCTTCCTCCTCCTGCCTTCCCTCCCCCAGGCCTGAAGTAGTGGGATAATTGGGACACTCCTGGTGAGGGGTCAGTGACCACTGGTGAGGTCAGCACACGTTTTAAAGGGTGCAGGGGACACAGGGCAGTGCAGGAAATGGCCAGCAGCCTCACCAGCACCTGGGGGCTTCAGGGAGGTATGGAAGCGTCTAGGATGTCAGTGGTGAGCGTTTACTGACCTGAACCGGGCACCTAGCTGAGTATTCAGACTTCATCCTGTATGTGTGAGGACCCAGTGAGGCTGGGTAAAGCAGAGTAGAGCTATGACCCGAGCCCATGTTTACTGAGGCAGGCTCTTGCTTGGCGTCTTTGTCACGGCCACCCCGGAGGGAGGAATTACGGGCATTCCCATTTTATGGGACAGCCTGATTCTAAAACCTGAATTCCTCATCATGATCCTTCGGAGATTAATGGAGCACAAAAGTGGGATGGGTGGGAGGGAGAAACAGCTGACCCCAAGACAAGCCATACAGAGAGTGATGGAAAGAAGGATGCCAGAGGTTTCGGGTTTAGTGGGAGAATGCGCTGCTAGCAATGCAATTAACTCAGAAGGATGAGGGTTCTGAGGGATGAAAAACGAGGCCTGAGGGCTCCTGGATGCCCGGCACCCAGCCATAGCAAAGGGAGAGCCACTAGCCTTCCAGCTCCTGAGAGGGCTCCCCGTGTCCCACCATCTAAATGCTGGGGTGCCTTCGACGCCTTAGGGGTTTGCATCAAGGTTTTTACAATTGAATTATGTCCCCAAAAGGATGTGTTGTAAATCCTAACCTCTATGCCTGTGGTTATAATCCCGCCTGGGAAAGGGTCGTCTCTGTAACGTTAATGAGACAAGTTAGTGTAGGGTGTGTCTAGAGTCAATCTCTAAAGGGAGATGAAAGAGATTAAACAAGCGAGGTAAAGGCAGAGAAGCGGGAAGAGAGATGCCAAGCCAAGTGAAGGTCGCCCAGGAGCAGAAGCTCCAAGAGACAAGGACGTTCCTCCAGAGCCAACAGAGATGGAAAGCCTTGCCCTAGAGCCGGCACCCTGAATTCGGGCCTCTAGCCTCCTCAACTGTGAGGAAATAAATTTGTTTGCTCCGGCCCCCGTTTGTGGTATTTCTGTTACAGCAGCGAAGACAAGGTTTAGTCTTCACCGCACTCCACTCACGAACTCAAGGTACGTTTCCAGTGGCGGTTGGGGGGGGTCCTTTCTATTTAAACCAGTGATTTTTTTTTTTAACAATAAACACATCTTACTTTTACTAGGAGTCCGTGGATAGCACTAACGGTTAAGCACTCAACTACCAGCTGGAGGTTGGTGGTTCTAACTCACCCAGCGGTGCCTCCAACAAGCCTGGTGATCTGCTTCCCAAAGGTCACATCCTTGAAAACCCCATGGAGCAATTCTACTCTACACATGGGGGGGGGGTCACCACGAGCCGGAATCGACTTGACGCACTGACAACACTTATACGCGGAGAGGAAAACACCTTTCAGAGTTCCTGATAATTTGGCCACGTGCTCATTGCTCTGTTAAGAGGGCGGTCTTCTGCGTTAACAGAGAGTCAGTCAGAGTGCAGAATAACCGCTTACTCTGCAGGAGCCCTCGGGCAAGGGACTTCACACCAGTTTCCTGTCCGCAGGAGGAGGACAGGAAACCGTCTCCCAGGACTCTCGTGGATACCACATCCACGGCACACTGCTGTAGCATGTCCACTGGCGGTGCCTGCGCCCCCAACAGCCTCTGTGGAAGAGGCACCTGCCCCCACACCCAGGTGTCCTCCCCAAACCGCGGAAGAGGGTTGGGTGGCCGTGCTCTACCTCCTAGGAACCCTTGTGGCCTCAGAGCTGCCCAATGTCAGCACAACTGACACTGAGGGCGGGGGCCCGGGTGAAGCCTGGGGCCCAGACAGTCAAACCCACGGGACCTGGCTGCTGGCTGCCAAGATCTCAAGGCCCGAGGCAGTTTCTTCTGGCCAGTTCCCAAAGGCATGACCCAGGGTAAGGAGGTGGCGTCCTCACCAAGCACCCACTTGGGGATCAGTTCCCAGGTCCCCGAGCAGGGGGGAGCTGCCAACCCGAGGATATTAACACATGCCCAGGCAGGTGGTCCTGGCCACCACGCCGCCAAGAAGTCAACCCCAAATCCCCGTTCCGTCCATCTCCTTTCCCTTCCCACCTTTCTGCTCTTCTATCTCGGCTTATGGGCCTCAGCGAGCCCCTGCATTGCAAGCGCTGAATGGGACCCCCACAACCAGAAGTAGTGATTCCCTCTGCACCCCACACCAAAGACAGGACACACAGGAAATGATCCTTTTCTAAATCAATACAATTTCTCAAATTTATTTTTTTCTTAAAGAAGTACTTCTACTAATCTCTGTCAAAAGGGAGATGAAGAACAGTCCCCCACCCCCCTGTAAACACTGAAATACAGATCCGGAAAACCAGGGTCGACACACACAAAAAGTGCATTTTACAAAATATCAACTAAAATATATTTTACATGGATTATGCCTCCATTGATATTCTACCAGCTGCATTTTCAGGTTTGAAAAAAATATTTCCACATCTAAGAGATTTCAAAAGCATCTACGTTCTGGGCAGCAGACCCTGCCTCCTGGGAGGTGCCTGGATGTCCTCTCCTGCTGGGACAGGCCGGGGTCCTTGGCTTCCAGGGCTGGCCCCCTGGGAACAAACAGGCTCCAAGGCTGGCTCTCAAGAGCACCCACTGCCACTCTGCCACCCTCTCTTATGGCCCCACCCTCCCAGGCTGACACCTTCCCAACAGCTTACTCAATATGAGGGGACCCAAGTCCCTCCTCTTCAGGTCTGGGACTGGGCTTCGCATGTGTAAAGTCACCACGGAAGCCTCCAGGCCTCACCCAAGTCCTGTCTTCTCGTGGACAGCACAGAGCCTGGGGGTGGCTGGGGGGCCCTCAAGATTCACTTCCACCGCGTTCTCCAGCCCCTGCCCCGCTGCCTGTCCTCACCCAGTGCTACTACCTCAGCCTGCTGGGCCTGCATGGGCTCCTGCCCCCAGCGGTGCACCCTGATGGATGCGCTCAGCCAGCACGTTACCAGTGGCCGGGCCCAAGCCACACTGCGCTGACTCCCTCCCCCGACCGTGCTCCTCTTTGGTACAAATAGGAAATAACTGGGCCTCTCCAGCCCCTCCCAAGGAGGCCCAGGGCCAGACCCAGGCAAGGATGGCAGGGGGCTGAGACTTCTCATCTCTTCTGGGGAGCAGTCTGAGGGGAGACCAAGGCCCTGGGCGGCAGGGACACACTGAAAAGCTCCTAGGGTGAGTGGCAGCAGCTCAGCAGGTCTGTGGACTGATACAGTGTTGATTCTGGCTGGGATGTAAACTAGTGCAATCTACAAAAGACTAGGGAGGGGTGGCAGGGCAGAGGGAGCCACAGCACTCCTTTGGTTTGATTTCAGGTGGGTGTGGCTTGAAGAGTCAGGTGTGAAGTTCTGCAAGAGGCTTCCTAGAACCTCGAAGTGTAAGGCAAGAGCAAAAGTCTTCAACAAATCAGGTAGCAATTTTCCTGGCCCCCTGCCCCCACCACCTCCCAGCACCCGTCTGACCTCCCAGACATGACAGCCCACACTGATCAGGTAACCTCTGGGAAGCCAGACCTGCTGGGTGGCCCTCCCGGGGAGGCGGGCACGAGGCTGACTCTGACAAGCAGGCCACACCCATGACTATGAGGGCCTGGTCATCTTGTCCCAGCACCAGGCTCCACTGCAGGGGAAGGGAGGACAGCCAGGAAAAGGCCCGAGCCCAGGAAGAGGACATCAACACTCTGGAAGGCAGACCATGGCTCTCTATGCCTCCAAGGAACAAGCCCAGAGCTGTGCTAGAGTCTCCGAGGGCCCGGTCCCAGGCCAAAGGGGAAGCAGCGGGTCACAGTGGGTGAGGTAAAGCTGGCTCCCACTCCCCCTTGGAGGGACCTGAGGGGAGGCCGCAGAAGGGCCTGCCGGGCCTGATTCCTGAAGGACCTTGCTTCCCCCGCAGGACCCCACGCCCCTCAGGCTTGGCCCAGCCTTGGAGAAGACTGCTTCTTCAGGGGTCTCCGCCCAGGAGACCAGAGTTACCCTGGGCCGAGCGGAGAGCCCTGGAGCTTTGTTATAGCCTGGCCTGCCCACCCCCCTCCATGGGGCTCAAAACCCGCAGGGTCCCCTGCCCTCCCACCCCCAGGAGAACCACAGGCCAGCAACCTCAGACCCCTGTGGCCCCTTAACCAAGTGCTGTGCTTCAAGCAGTGCCCCTGCCCCGAGCCCCACTCGCCCGCAGGCAGCCCCAGCCTGGGCACGAGGAGGCTACTGGGGGTTCTTGAGGATGCGGCCATGGCGGAAGTCATAGACATGGCGGCAAAGAAACACCAGCTCAGGGTCCGTGTCCTCGGGCACCGTGCGGTGTGGCGGGGTGGAGTAGTCCACAGAGGGGGGCACCAGCGCTGTCTTCCGGCTGGGGAGGCCCTCGCCTCGGCGCTTGGCCATGGCACAGAATCTGCAGTGACATGCCATCCGCTGTCTACACAGTCACCTTCCCCACCCTGCCCAGAAAGCTGGGACAGCCCCTCCTGCCCCCCAGCCCTGTCCTGGGGAGGCCCTCGCCTGGGCGCTTGGCCACGGCACAGAATCTGCAGTGACACGCCATCCGCTGTACCACAGTCACCTTCCCCACCCTGCCCAGAGAGCTGGGACAGCCCCTCCAGCCCTCCGTCCTTGTCCTGGGGGCTGTGCCCACTCTGCCAACGACCAGTCCATTTGCTGTCACTGGAAAACCACGCCTGCCCGGGCCTCCTCCCAGCCACCTGCCGACGCTCCTAGACTTCTCCAAGGGCAGCACTCGAACGCCACCCTTCCCCCGACCCCCTGCCTCAGTGGGGCAATGGGACCTTTCTTCTAAAAACCAAACTCCAAATCAGAGGGTGGAGGCAGACTGCAGGGAAGAAAGTCCCGGGGGTTCAGGCACCACCCACCTGCAGTACTCGGCAAAGGTCAGCACGTAGCACTTCTCCTCGATGCAGGCCACGCTGTTCTGGTCCTGATGTCGAGAAGCAAAGACTTCATTCTGCAAAGACTCAAGGGGGCGGGAGCAGATGGGTTATGAGAGCTGGAAAGCCCCCCACTCCAGGAGGCAGGTAGACATTAACCCCGCTACCGGGACTCCTGACCCGAGATGTAATCCAGCTGGTGGCTCCACAGCCCCAGAGCACTCCTCCTGGTCCTGTCCCACCCAGGAGTAGCCACCTGCCCCAGTCCCTGACTGTCACCAGCCTCCCAACCCCAGCCCCAGCCCAGGGGAGGAGAGGGGGTAGGTTCTCAGCTTCCCAGCTGGATAAACAGGCCTGGCTGAGGGACCAAAATAAAAGGTGAGCCTGGGCAGGGAATGGAGGGGGTACAACCCGGACAGTCACCCCTCCTCGCACACAGCTGGGTGGGGAGCCCGGGGGCATTAGGGGAGTCTTCTCTCCCCTCCCCCATACTGCAGACAATGTCAAAGCTCCATTGCTCCTTCCCTGTTGTCAGAGAAACATACTCTGCTTCCAGTCTGCCACTTCCTGCCCTCCAGGGCTCCCTTTCCACGCCTCTCTTAAACAAAGATCGCTGCTCCCTTTGAGATGAACTGGGACAGTGTTGGGGGAACCTGAGGAACCTGGGAAAAGGCTCAACTCCAGGCCCTTCTCTGGGTTTATGGTCTCTGGAGTCCAAGGAGATCAGCTCAGGGCACCCCCCCGACCCACACCACCACCTCTCCCTCCGACTCCCGCTGCCCTCTGCCACCCCTCCCCTCACCGACCCACGGCCAGGCGGCTCACCTGGTGCATGCTGGGACTGCGGCCTCCCTGTAAGTGCTCGGGTCTGTAATACCACAGGAGGCTCATCATCAGCTCTCCTGGGGGCGCAACAGAGTGGTCACGGTGTGAGCTGGCAACCCCAGTTACTCAGACAGGCAGGCAGGCTGGCCGCCTGCCGCCCCGGAGGCTGACCCAGCCTCAGTGCCTAGACCAACCCTACTGGCTCCAGGTGCCCGTGTCCCCTGCCTCAGACTAAGCCTGGCATTTGGTGGCCTGGAGTACTGTTGGGCACAGGGCGAGAAGGGCACTAACAGGTGAGGTGGGGGGACAGGTGCCCAGGCCCTGGTAACTGCTAAGGTTAATGAGCTGATCCAGCCTGAGCCACAAGGTCGTCCGCAGCCCTTGGCAGCAGACAGACCCCAGCTGAGTGGGAGGCCGACCGTGTGCCCAGAACGTGGGGAGACTCATGCCAGGTCAAACCCAGGCAGGGGCAGATCTAGGGCCTAAAGTCCCGGAAAAGGCAGCTACCCCTGGGGTCCCCAGCCTGAGGGAGGGGTACCTGATTCAGGGTTCTCCCAGAGGGCAGAGATCTTGGCCACATAAGGAGTGGACGTCTTTCGCGGGCCTGACTTAAGAAGGACAGTGTCCCGGACTCGGATCATCTCTCCGTGCCGTTCTACTGCCTGGTAGCTCTTTCGGATGGCTGGTTCTGGTTCATCCTGGGCAACGAGCCAAAGACACAAATAGGCTTGAGGGGCCACACTTCAGTGAGGAGGGACGCGGGGCGGAGGGAGGGAATGACGCCCTGGCTACACTGTCCTCAGGCAGCCAAGCTGCTAAGGACGGGAAACTGCACGGGCACTTTGCGTGCCTGCCAGACAGTTCTCCCCGAGCCTGGCTTCCAAAGAAAGGACAGAGGTAGGAATTCCCATGGCTGGAGAAAGGATGAAACTGGAAGCTGGGTGGGAAGCTGCCTGGAACTTCTGGGGCTGAGCTCTGACGGCCACAGCCACTGCTGGCCCTCTTACCCCAGGTCCCAGCCCTGGGAAAGCGCCCAGGCCCCCTAGCGGGACAGTCTGTCTTTGACCTCCATCATTACTTCATCTACTGCTAAGCCTCAGTTTCCGCATCTGGAAGATGAAGATAATTACAAGAACCTGGGGCGCCTGCCTAACGGGGAAGTGGCAAGCATTAAAGGAGGTAATGCACACAAAGTGCTTGGCTCAGTTCCGACGCCTACGATGTGACCGATACATCTTCGCTGACATTCTCTGTCATCCCAGGGTTCTCGGATCACTAATCCTTCTCTTCCCTATACATCCCATCCAAAAAGCCCTCACGATGGTCCTCCATTTTATAATCTGGATGTAAGGGGCAGCATGAGCAGAGATGAGGGGTACAGACTCTTCAGATGGCTGCCCCAAAAGGCAGTGACAGAGATGGCAGCCACCATCTATCACCATCTGACTGTGTGCCCCGACGTCCCCAGGGCTTACCAGTACAGGATCACTAGGGACAGGGGTGCAGGCTGGGCCAGCGTGACTGGTTCCTAGGGTACAAGTAAGCTGGAGGTCCTCGTCACCCCCGAGAGTAGCCTGGGCCAGGGGTTCCTGGGACCCACGTCACCCGCCCGCTCCCCACAGCTAAGAGCTAGCACTCACCAAGACATAGACAGCCTTCTCACAGGCAGCCCCAACGGGCACCCAGCCATTAGTGCGGCGGCGGCGGCGGCGGCGTGGACGTGGACGCTGGACGCGCGGCTGCTTGGGGTGGCTGGGCCTGCGGGCAGCCTTGCTCCTCACAGTGTGCCGGCAGCCAGAGCCTGTGCGCAGACCAGACTTGGAACCGCTGGGAGGCTTGGCGCTCTGAGGGCATGCGCGGGCTACTGTCTGGGGCTCCGAGGTGGGTGTCTGAAGATGGGGGACGGGCTCTGCTGCAGGTGGCACGCTGGGCACAGGGCACCCCAGGAGGGGGTGAGCAGGTGAGGCTGGGTGGCCAGCTTCCAGAAGAGGAAATTCCAGCTGGCCCAGGGACCTGCAGCCTTCTGGGAAAGGAGGAGTGGGTCAGGCACGGCAGGTAAGGACAAGCAGTAACCCCTGGCCCATGTGCTTCCAGAGCCTGCTCCTGTCTTAATTCTGAATGTGAACCTAAGGGCCACCGAAGTGGCAGGTGGGGTCAGGGGTATTCCCTGACCTTGGAGATGGACCCACAGACATACCCATCTCCCCTTCCAGCCCAAAAGAAGGCGAAATCGTGGGAACAGCTTCCTTAGCTAGGGCAGAAACTTCTCCTCAGGCTTCCACAGTACTCGGCAACAGCTGTTCTCAAGTCAGACGGCCCGGCATATGAATCCCAGACCTGCCACCTACTAGCTGGGTGACTTCAGGCAAGTCACTTGACCCTTCGGCGCCTTACAATCGAAGTAGCTGCAAATATCACCGTGTTCCCAGGTGTTCTTCTTATCAATACATTAACTCACTTCCTCCTGACAGCCACCCCATGAGGTAGGGACCACGACCACCATTACCCCTTTTTACAGGTCACATAGCTACGGAAGTGGGAGAGCTGCAGAGTCTGTGCTCAATCACACGCCACGCCACCTCCTGTAGGCAGAGCGCTTACCGCAGCACCTCGTTCAGACTGCGTGGTAGTGCCATTGTTAGCAGCGTGAGGGGCAAGGGTCCTGGGTCCCGTGGGTTAGGTGTCTAGACCTGGGGAGTGGTCCGACAGAAGGAAAAGCCCAAGAAGGCTGCCCTCATTTCTTAGAGCTCCAACTCACACCAGAACCTGAAACAGCCAGTCTGGCCAGAGCCAGCCAGTCTATGAAGTTGTTTTATAGACCCCCACAAGAAGGCGTGTGGCCAGGAGAGCCCCGGGAAGGCCTGGCCCCTCACCGCGCCAGCAGCAGGCAGACTTGCTGGCCGCTCTGACCGCCTCACTTCCACCCAGGAGCCAGGGAGGCAGCTTGGCAGGTGAGGGTACTGGACCAACAGGGACGACTGTGGGGTGCCTGACCAGCTAGGGCACCTGCCTCTCAGGGGTGTCTGTGTCTCATCAGAAAGGCAGACACCAAAGCCACCCACCCCAGCAAGGGGAAGCCAAATCTGGGCTCTACTCTGTCAAAACCTGTCAGGCCAGGGTGACGCAGCTGACAGTCTACTGGGGCCGAGTACCCACCACCCTACCCATGAACGCTGAACGTGGCCGGCATGCAGATGCTCTGGGTTCCTGGCAAGTAAGGAATTCTAGCTTTGCTCGAGGAGGGCAAACGGAACAGCACAAGAACAACGTGGCAGAACGCCCTAACGTCCATACACCTAATTTGCTACTCAGAGTCTAAGAATGAGAATCCCAGTGGGGACGGAGGAAAGGTCCTCCCAGGCCCGCGACCACCACAGTGCTACCTAACTGCTGGGCCAAGGAATTTCCATAAACAGCCTGGGCAGAGCAGGGCTGATCAGAGCTAAACATGGGGCCCCTTTCCTGCAAATGCTCCCTGGCTCAGGGCAAATCAGGGGCGTTCTCCCTCTCAGAGACCCCTATCCCCCAAGCTAGACCCCAAAGAGCCCCTGCCCCGAGCCATGGCCCACCCTCCTGGGACCCCATGTCTCAGGGACTCCCCGGCACGTCCCCGACCCCAGGAAGGCGTACCTGCTGCGAAAGGCATTTTGTAGGGACAGCCGCCACACGCAGTGCCAGCGTGGGTGACGGACAGAGGCAACACTTCACAGAGGCTGTATTCATTTGCTCCAGTGTCCTCGCCAGAGCAGTAGCGAGAGGAGCCCCAGGGAGGGTGCTGGAAAGGGGTGCCCGCGAGCACTGAGCTTGGGGCCAACAGGAGCCCCTCATTAGGTGCAGCCACCGGGGACAGCTTGCCCTCGGGCAGCATGGGGCAGGTGGAGCAGCCCCCACACTTCAGCCCTTCTCGGCCACAGTACAGGTAGAAGCTACCTAGTGCAGTGAGCTCAGGTCCACCACACAGGCCACGGTAGTCGGCGGGGTTGCCAGGCATCGGCAGGGGGGACAACTGGGGTGCAGGGAAAGAGGGCTGGTGCAGTTCCTGCTTGGGGGCGGGTGACTCCTCGCCTGGGCGCCCGGGCTCTGGCTTCAGGGCTGCCTGCCCACCCATCAGCAGAGGTAGGCGGGGGCGCAGCCCCAAGGGGCTCTCCAGGGCCTTGCTCAGAGGCTGGTACGGTGGCTGAACGGATGGCCTATGAGGGGCGGCAGATGGCCACGGCCCCTCAGGGTGTCCTTGCCAGCCAGGTGGGCCTGCAGCCTCCCCAGAGCCAGGCCCCTGACGGGCCTTGGGACAGCTCTTGCCATTGACCTTGGCCCACTTTGGCCGCAGGGCCTTGGGTGCTGGTGACTCAGTGGAGCGCCCGTCTGCTTCTGGGTGGGGACGAGGGGGGCGCAGGGGAACCTCGCGCTCCTGGCTCAGCCTCAGGAAGGCGGCTGCGTTCAGGCTGGCCAACCTCTTGGGAGCCGGGTCACCATCCCGACGGGCACCTTCATCTGGTGCGGGCTCTGGGGACAGGTCTCGACTTCCTCCTCCAAGGTCTCCCAGCCGGGGCCGCTTCTTGGAGGAGGACCAGCCCGCAGTGGCCCGGTCACGGTCGCGGTCCCGGCTTCGGCGGGGGTCTCCCCCTCGGCTGCGGCGGGGGCCTGCCAGGCTGCTGGTGTCGTCCCGCTCCAGCAGCAGGTTATTGAGGGCCTCGGCGTTGAGGGAGGCCAGGCGCCGCTTGCGGGGCTGGGCGAGGCCAGGGCCCTCACTAGATGGGGCCGGGCTGGGGGGCTTGGGCAGGTCAGGGGGCAGCTCGTCAGCCTCGTCTGCGCTGCGTGGATCGGCCACACTCTCCAGGCGGGTCAGCAGCACTTTGCAGGCCTTGGGCTTCTCAGGGACCAGTGGGCGCTTTCGCAGTGGGTAGTTCTTGCGGCGCGCTGTGAGGTGCCCGGGGCTCTCGGGCATGCCTGGCTCCACGGCCTCCGCCCCCTGCTCCACATTGCTGCCTTCCATCGGCAGGGGCTCCTGGCGGCCAGTGGGGCCCGAACTCAGCATGGGAAGGGACTTCCTCCGGGTGTGTGTCATGGAGTAGAGCTCCAACCTGCAGGACAAAAGGCTGGCAGTGAGTGGAGCCCCACATACCCCTCAGCCTACTTTCTCCCAGTGCGGCCCCTCCAGTCCCACTGGCAGTAGCTTGGCCTACGTTCACCCCATCCCCAGCCTGGCTTTCCCCGGGCCCCTCTTCCAGAGTGTGAAGGCTCAGTGGGGTCGGGCTGCTAGCAGCTGTACAAGGGCTGGTTCCCCACCCGCCTTTCAGCCGGGGGTCCTTCTCTAAACTGAGCTGCTGGAGAGCCGCAAAGCAATGTGGAAGCCGGGGGCAGAGCACAGAAAGAGCTGGAGTCAAAACTCTGTTCTCTCTCCTCCCTTCTTCTTCCATGAGACACCATCGCAGGACAGGAGGCGGTTCTGAAGACACCAAGCCAGGATGAGGTTCTGGGGTGTAGGGACCCGTCTATTCTTCTAAAAGCACTGTCAAGGCATTACCAGCGCTTCTTCAACCTGGGGCTCCTGAGACCAGCCACAGGAAGATACAAAGATGCAGAGTGAGGACGTGAGATGGGAACTCGCCGGATGGGATGAGGAGGAGGCCATGTCCCTCTGCTGACTCCTTGCCCGGCAGCCCTAACCTGGGTCCTGCTGGAAAAGAGCCACGAAGACCCAAGGCCTGGCCTCAGGGGCAGTCTCAGCCAGCCTAGGAGCCAGGCGCAGCTGGGTTCAGATTCCAGGAAGGACAGCCCAGACAGTCAGCGCCTGGAGAAGGGCTGTCAGGGAGGCTGGGACCAGCATCCTTCTGGGGGTCAGGAGACCCACGGGACGGCACATTGACCTGCAGTGCAGTCTGAAGCTCCCGCCAGCCACAAAAAGTTGGGAGGAGAAAGTACAACAGAGAAGAGCTAAAGCAGGGCCAACAGGCTGCCTTGCGGGTCCTGCCTGGCTCCTCGTGTCTCCCTTCTGGTAGGCCAGATGCCAGGCAAGAGCGTAAAACGGGGAGGTGGGGAGAGTCGCGGGAAGCCTAGAGCCCAGAGCCAGTGACCAAAAATGCCTGCCACCAGACTGCATTCCCAAACTTTCTGTTCAGCTGAACAGCCCTCAACATACGCCCGCGCAGCCTGGGCCTGGGTCCTTGGGGAGGCCAGCCAGGCTGGCAGCATGCGGAAAGGTGACTGGGCCAAGGCAGTGAGGGACCACCAGGCCAGGAGAATTTAGTGGCCAGACTACTCAGCTGTTTCCTCCCTACCTATTCCCCGGCCCAAGCACAGGCGGGGCCAAGGAAGGTGCCAGCAGGCGCTCTGCCCTTCACCAGGCGCCCTCGTGACCCCCTCCCAACCCAGCAGGCTTGGGCCTTCAGCTGAATTTCCCCACTGCTATTGTTATTCACACTCGCTCCCGGAGCAGGGAGCCATCCCTGCTGGGCTGGGATTTAACCCTGAAAGTCCTAAGCCCGAGGGCTTCCCAGCTAGCTCCTCTGGCCTTGGGCCAGCGGCAGGGGGTCAGCGGCACCTTCTCTCCAGGTATACGCTGCGCTAGGTGAGAAAGCAGGCTCAGAAAACCAGGCTGAGGGCAGCGCGGGTGACCCTCACCCGAGAAAGGACTCGGAAAACTGGAAAGGGGAGGCAGCGTGCCAGGTGCTGCTCTGGCCACGTGCGTGCGGGCACCTGCCACTGGCCAGACACCGGGCCCCAGGCAAGACACAGAGTCACGGAAGACAAACCCATTCATGCCCCAGGCGTGTGTGGAGGGCTCCAAGAAAATCCCAACCCCCTGCTAGGCTCCCTGAAACCCTTCCTAGTTCCAAACCAGGTGACCACGCCCGCCTCCCTGTTTACTCAGCAAGCAGCGCTCCTTTCCCTCTCTGAAGCACCCCAGTGTCTCAGGCAGAGGAGCAGAAGCACATCTGTTTTTTTTCTAGGAAAGCCCAGGTCCAGCCCTCCCCCACCCCAAAAGGGCCTGGGATGGGAGAAAAGAGCAGACAGACCACAAAGCTGAGCTGGGGCCCAAGCCCTCAACAGGGCCCATGTTACCAGAGGAGCCAGGCCTGGGAATGGCTGGGGGCCGAGGCTGAGGTCGCCTGGGCTTGTGGCCTTTGAGGACTGGACACCAAGCGCAGAGCCAAGGAGGGGAGACAGGAAAGAGAGTGTGCACAGGGAGCTGACTGCAGGCCCGGCTGTGAGGGAGCTTGCAGCAGGAGGCGTGAGCCCACCACCCAGAGAGCTTTGGTGGTAGGAGTCCTAGGATCCGGGAAACCTGCCCCCACTCACAGCCTTTCTCTCTCCACACACACAAGGTCCCAAGCAGGAAGACGTCAGGAAGGGAGGCGGCGCCTTGACAACACACCTTCCACTTTCAGGAGCTTGTCCCCAGAACCTGGAAACATGTTCCCTGAAGAATACTGTGCTCTTCAACCTCTGATCCAGCCGTCCAGTTCCTCAGGGACACATGTGGGATGGATGACCCCGAAAGCCTCTAAACCACAGGCCGCGAGTCACACTTCTGAATCAAGCTTAGGAGCCTCTTGCTAGCCTCCCTTCAATCTGCCAAACCCCCAGTCACCTGCGCAAACACCCAGAGAAGGCCCGAGCACATCGAAAAACAACTCCCGGCTTTCATGTGGTGCCGAAGGCGACAGCACTGGCAGTCCCGGAGGGGAGGCCGGGGTCTCTGCCGCCCGTCCCTCTCGGTGCTCCAGTCTGAGGAACGCAGTGTGTGTGAGTCGTGCTTTGAAGGCGTAAGTGTGAGAACCCCGGCTGCAGCTTTTCCCTGGGGTGGGGCTGGTTGGAAGGGGCTCCCAGCCTGCAGGGACCCCTCAACCTGCGGGGCAGCCCGGCCGGGTAGGGGAAGAAGGTCCCAGGAAAGCAGTAGGCTTTCCTCCTGCCAATCCGCCCGCTGCCCCTCCCACCAATCCACGAGCTAAACCAGGAACTTTCTACCACTGCCTGCTCCTCCTCTCTGGGAAGCCCTGTCCTCCCAGGCACAGGCAGTCCAGGACCCCTAGGGAGAAGGTTCCTAGGAGGGACTCCCCAGGACACACTACTGCTTTGCCTAGACAGTCAAACAAGGTCTCACCGGAGAAAACCAGTCTGACTGTCCCCAGCTCTGAACAGCAATCAGCCGGCTGCCATGGAGGACAGTGGCCAGCTGGTCTGCCTCCAGGCCAAAGACCCAGTGAGCCACAGGCTGAGTCCAAAATCCCCACAAGTGTACTCAAAAGACATCAAGCAGGACACCTCAGGCCCCAGGTGCACCAGGGTCTGGAAATTAAGGGGGAAATAGGGAAAACAAAGACCCAGGCCCGGCTGAAGCATCATGCGGGTGGGGGTGGGGATGGCTGCTCTCTGTGCCGCCCTAAGCTTGCCCGTGGCTGGGAGACGCTACCACCACAGAGCCAAAAGGGAGAGATGACCAGTCTCTTGTCCTCATGTCCCCAAGATGCGTGGAGCCTGCAGGGAGGGTCAGAGGACTGGAGCAGCGTGGGGAAACCGGGGACAGGGGCCCCAGGAGCCGCAGGATCACTCCCACAGAGACGCCGCCCTGGACCAGGAAGAGGCCCTCAGCCCGGGCTACTGCTCTGTCTGCTGTACCCCACACTCCCATACTGGGGGTTCAGAACTCAGGGCTCTGCCCACTGTACTTCCCGAATCTTGTCTCATCCACTGCTTTTCAGGAATTCAGGACTGTAGGCAAGGGGAGCGGGTATTCAGAGAGGTTTCAGATAGACGCAGACCAGGCAGTCACCTGGGTGCAGGCCAGGAAGGGCTTTGCCCCAAGCCACCTCCCTCCAATGATGGCCAAAGCCACAGAACTGGCACGGAGCACGGCAGTGCCCTCGTCTGCAATCCCCCTTGGCATAAAACTCCCTGAAAGGAAACACTTTTCAAACACTGAGTTTCTTGACTCTTCCATCAGAGAAGAAAAGCAGCAAGACACAACAGTGGGCTCCCTCTTGTTTAAATCTCGCTGAGGTTACTTCATGGTCAAACAGAGGTGAAGCTGCTGAAATTCCTACGGTAACGCCAGGTAAAGACATGGCTGGGACCTCCTGAATCGCCAAGAGCTGATAAAGTGAAAAGGACAACGGCTCTGCGTCAGGCAGATCTGGATTTAAATGCCAGCTCTACCTCTGAAGAGCAACTTCTCTGAACTTCAGGTTCCTCCCCTAAAATGAATTTTACCTAAGATGGTTGTGAGTGTTACAAAGTCCCTCTGCAAGGGCCCAGCCAGGAGTAGGAACCAGGCAGGCAAGCGACCCTCCTCCAGGCTCAGGGACAGAGAGGGTGGCGGCCCTGGCCTGGGCATTCCCCCACAGCAGGCTGAGGCTGCGAAGCCCGCTGCCTCCAGACAAGAAGTCTGAAAACCCAGCCTGCGCCTGAACTCTGCTCTGCTGCTTTTCCCATGAAAACACTGTGTGGCAACCCTGGGAGAGATGGAGGCGGCGCTGCTTTTCCCTTGCAGGGTCCATACGCATTGCTGCTAAGTCAACTTTGACTCATAATGACCCTACAGGACAGAGGAGAAATACCCCATAGGGTTTCCAAGGCTGAAATCTTTAGGGAAGCAGACGGCCACATCTTTCTCTCAAGGAGCTGCTGGTGGGTTCAAATCACCGACCCTCCAGTTAGCTGCCTAGCGCTTAGCCACTGCACCACGAGGGCTCCTTCTTGCAGGGTGCAGCGGGGCGAGTTGTGGGGGACTCGACTTACACCTAGTGAGAGGGCAGGGGCAGAAACTGCATCCCACAGACCCTAAGCAACAACTCCGTGCCGCCGCCGCCAAGCAACACTCAACTGGACCGTGAAAGGCGAGTTCCTCAGACGCCAAGGGCGAGGCTAGACCCAGAGGATGGGGTCAGAAGGCGTGCGTTCTGCCAGCTCCCACCATCTGACTGCTTCTTCAGTGCAGGTACCCACACAGAGCTGGGGTCTCGGCTCCGACAGCACGGAGCTCAAGGCCAGGGCTGTGCCCTTGAAGACAGCAGTGCCTATCCATCCTCACTTGCTGGGGTACTCAAGTCACTCTGCAATCAGGTT